TTTAGTTGACCTTCTTTTGTTCTGTAACTGGATGCCAAATTCTCGAATAATTGTTGTGCATTAGCTGAGAACTCGGATAGTTCAATATAAAACGAACAATTTCAAACCGAAAAAATATAAGCATCTAAACCGTGGAAATATATGTACATCATTACGTTATTTTCTCTCAAGTTTCCTACCATTATATCAAATATTCGATGATTCTGCGGAAATTATTCAGTTGTCTTTGAAGATGGAGAGACCTGATTTCCACATTACTGTCCTATTTTTTTTTGTAATACGAATGGAACCACGAATAGAACTTCGACAAACCTTCTTTGTCCATGAGATATTCTACTTCTTCACTTGGGATACTTTTGAAATTTCCGAAATTTTGCACAGTTTCAGGTTACACCTTGTATAGCGATTTTATGTGAAGAACCTTTATGTTTTAAAGATTCACGAGATTATAGCTGAAGGACTGGGCTAGCGAACAGTGTGATCCGAATTCAAATCGTTCAAAGCAGAAACAATTTATTCATATTTCAACAGAGGCGAAATTTTGGGGCACAATAAAATTAGTGTTGCATAGATTAGTACGTTCGTACGTTACATGTTTTTAAGCTTATCCGATTATGTTCGATTCTTTACATCAAAATCCGCCGCTGAACACGTTGATATTTTGCTCAAAACCCGAGAACGCTCGCACCACGGTCGTTTTGCCGCCAAGCATTAATTTTGCCCCTCCCACATTTATTTGGGCCGGGATTTTACGACCCACTCACAAGTCTTCCTGAGTCGAACCGGCGGGCCAGTTCACGTTTGGTTTCGGTCAGAGGGTGTTGTTTGGAGCTGAAAATTGACAATTGGTCGTTTCCACCGACGCGCGAGCATTTAGAGGTTTGTACCAAATTATTCATTGTCTACAAGGAAATTGGGGGTTATAATCAAGTAAATGTGGCAAAATCAATTAGATAATAGTAGATAACCCTTTATAGATACTGAATACCTTTAATAAACAGCACAAATACTGACGAATTTTGGGATTTTCTATAGTCGGTCAAAACGACCAGCCGCGAGCATCAACGTAACTTCTCATTTTTGTTCAGAAATATACCAACTTTGTGTTCATAGTCGATAGAGTTTTCATAAGAAGTGTATCAATAGCTGAATACCTTTGATAAACACCACAAATACTGACAAATTTGGGGATTTCCTATAGTCGGTCAAAACGACCAGCCGCGAGGATCAACGTAACTTTCTAGGCGCGAGTGTTCTCGGGTTTTATTATCAATCAAAATTTTGTTCAAATGGTTAATGGTTACCGTTTCATCTAACAGCATTTTCACAATCTTGTGGTATCGATCGTGTCACAAAATAGGAAAGTAATGTGCATTTGTACAATTCTCAATCTTCAATGACGAAAAAACACACGGTACACAAATTATCTATTAAAAAATTTATTGATTGTTGAGCAAGGAGATGAATACATTATTTTGAAACAAAAAATGCACTCAAAATGGTTCACAGCTCACAATTATCACGAAAATATCCATGAATTGAAATAAAAAACTACCAACCACCAGTTTTGCGTGATAACTTAGTTATCTTCGGGGATGGAACCTTGCGATTTCCTCGATTATGTTCCACTTCTTGATGAAACTCAAGATGGCCTAATCAGATTTTGCATAACTATTTCCGTCTATGAGATACAGGGCGATTTTGAAACTTCATACTTTTTGGACCCCCTCTATATCTACAAAGCTTCTCAAAGAAACTGTCAAATTGGAATCATATCCCATAGAAAATTTCACGCAGAATCCAGCAATGCACTCGAAATTTTTTTTCGGGTTTTGGAGATACGACTTTAACTTATGATTTTTCTAATGGAACACCCTGTACTCCATTAGCTCATCGAATTCCTCATTTTTCTTCCCCTCGAAATGATATATAATGTAGGACTATACAATTTTCTGAAATGCTCCAAAATCACTTAAACTTTGATTTCTAATTGTGAGCTATGGATGTTTTATATAAAAAAGTTCCAATTGAAGGAATATATCTTTTGATTTTTCCGTGAAGAGAACAAAAATAATATCAATACTAATCAACTAATAAATCTCAAAACACAGTACCTGATGCAACAAATAAATAGTAATGAAAAGTTCATAATGTAGGATGAGCACCTGAATGTGAATTATTTACTAAAACAATTGAATTTCGAAATTATTCATCAACTTATTCATTGAATTGTTCAACTTGATGTCCATTTTCCCTAACACAATGGGCTTATATCACAAAAAAATCGATAGAACTCACCCAAACTAGTTCACCACCGCAAACCGTTTCTTGCTGTGAGCTCCCTACGTTTTATAAAAAATTATTGAAATTATTATTATTCGGACCTCTGAAAACGAGGCGATGATGTGACGTCAAAACCCTAATACTGAAACAAGACTATTCCAGACAGAGATGAATGATACATGATTTCTGACAGAGTGAATTGGCGCGAGATCACAGTTGAAAGAATTAATATATCAGTTGCCTCAGTCTCCGTCGGGCGTTTGGTATTTTCTTTTAACTATGGCGAGATGAGGTTTCTACGTCATAAGAGGGTCCGTTTTCAGAAGGTACTATTTTTATGTCCAAAAATAAAACATTTCAGCTAATTTTCGATCGAATTATGTTGTCAATCATTATTTATGTATGAAAGGATCATTACGAACATGGTTTGAGTCAAAAGTTCTACTGAGGTGTACACGCCCATTGACATACTATATCAGTACGTCTTAATATTGTAAGAGGCACAACAGTCTCGGAGAACCTCGTCCAACAACAGAGGCTGTGTTCCAGGAAAATACATCCTCCAATGATTTTGAATGCATGAAAGAAGTGTATGTGTGAGGAAAAATGGACATCTGAGGAAGTGTGTGAGGCACAATGAACATTAATTTGGACAGTCCAATGAATAAGTTACAAAATAATTTCGAAATCAAAATAAAGTATTTTCGTGAATATTTAAGTAAGTGCTCATTCTACATTATGAACTTTTGTGATTTTCATGGAGGAATCATAGAAAATATTCCTCCATTTGGAACTTTTTTTTACGAAAAATCCATAGCCCACTAACAAAATTAAATGATTTAGTGATTTTGGAGCATTTTCAAAATTTCCATATTCATACATTATATATAATTTCGAAAAAAAAAAAGGAATTGAGCTGATGAAATACAGAGTGTTACATATAAAAAAAATATGTTATGCCTTATCTCCAAAATCATAACCCGAAAAAAAAATTGAGTGCGCCACTGGATTTTGCGGAAAATTCTCTATGGGATGAAATTTCAATTTGAAATTTTCCCTCAGAAATTTCGTAGATATAGAGGGAGTCCAAAAATAATAAATTTTCAAAATCACCCTGTATCTCATAAACGGGAACAGTTATGCGAAATCTATCAGTTCTTCTTGAGTTTTACTAAAAAATGGCACAGGACCGCGAAAACCGCAATGCTGAATGAGATATAGCACGCAAAAGCGTCTAAAACTGGACACACTGTGCATATTAATCAACTATCATCAAATTTGTTTAATCATTCTCATCATTAGCCATTTATTCTTTGTGTATTTCGAAAAAGCAAGACTACTTAGCTTTTTTAGTGAATTTTAGGCGCATAGGGAGCTATAGTAGCTACTTAAAAACACGTCAAAACACTATAGAGTACTATCACCCAAAAGTTACTAGGCTACTTAAGATAGACAGCATCTGTTATTCCTAGAATCATCTCTGAATACAGGGTGTGATTCGAAAATAGTTGTCCCTGTTGCTAAGATAGGTTGAATACTGCGAAATAAGTTGGGTTTGCAAAGTTATATATTCCTCGGCTATCAATTTTCAGGCTCGACTATAATACAAATCTTCTTCAACATCGTGTACCTTTTATAAATACGGATGCCGTTACGGGCATTTTTTATTGAGCAAACCCAACAACGTATATGCAGTGTCCTACCTATCCTAGCGTCAAGCCCACCTTTTTTTGAAACACCCTGTACAGAAAATATTCCTCGACTTCCGAAGAACATCTCGTGCCGTTTGAGCACAGTATCGCCCTAGCACCACCCATATACGTATTAATTAACAATATGGATACTCTCTATCTGTTTTCATAAAGCAAATAGAAGACAAATATGACTATCTATAAGTATAAAGTGATATACTGCGCATCATCAAATGCGCAAGTTCGAATGACTGTCACATCATCGATACATCGATACATCTAACATAATTAGAGAGTTGAAGTGTTGCCATGAACGTTAACGTTAACGTAGAAATTGACAGCTCCAAACTCAAAATATGCCGATGAGTCAAAATCATCAAATTCGGGATCCTTAAGGAGTTCTGCATCAGGGCAACCTTCCATTTTCACACGAATAAATGTTTTGATCTTAACAAACAACCAAAACTGACCAATACAAACCGATAACATAATTTGTTATAACGTTACGATGACAGTGACGATTTCAACTCAATATGAAAACAATACGTAAACGTTATTTTTCGTACTTTAACGTTTACGTGGAGGTCTACGTACAGCGATTACTTCAACTCTCTATTATATCTCACTTTTAACGGCACTCCTCCACATCTCAGTCATCAGTCGTGCGATTCTTACTAAAGTTGGACCGGTATGAATAACAATGCATCAATATTATCAGTTTTTTGGAGACGAACGTTATTTTACGATGAAAAGGGGTAATTTCTTTATGAAATCATATTAGGATTTCTCTTTACTGGAAACCTGACCTCATAATATTGTGCTTTCAAACCCTCATACATACATATATTTTCATATAATTTCTATGAAGGGTTGCCTCCACTACACTGTGAGATGGATAGCCCCAGATGGTTTTACACGCCACCAAATCCTTAAGGATAATCATTTCTTTTTCTTCATATTTTCGCTTCCACCAGTTATCCATATTGTTAATAATTGATACGTATATGGCACCACCACGCCACGTACGATCGACTTCTGATTCCTGAGCGCGGCGGGCTTCCCCGTCTGACTGCTCTGAGCGGGCGGCTCTCCCCTCACTTGGCTGGACACGCCGGGCGGACTGAGCGGTGCCAGCGGGCAGGAGGGGCGGTGCGGCTGCTGGCAGAACTTGGGCTGGTAGGGCTCCAGCATGCGGATCTTGCCCCAGCGGTTGAAGAAGAGCGCGATGGCCGCCACCCAGATGACCAGGACCAGGGCCACAAGCAGGATTTCCTCGACACGGACCACCACCACCTGGACATCTGGAAATGACAAGAAAATCACAAGGAAATCACATGGAAATTACAAGAGAATGACAAGAATAAAACATGAAAATCACATGAAAATTACATGGAAATTACAAGGAAATGACAAGTAAATGACAAGTAAATAACAAGTAAATGACAAGTAAATGACAAGTAAATGACAAATATATGACAAGAAAGTAACAAGAAAATAACAAGAAAATTATATGGAAATTACAAGAGAATGAAAAGAAAATGACAAGAAAATTACAAGAAAATTACAAGAAAATGATAAGAAAATTACAAGAAAATTACAAGAAAACTACAAGAAAATCACAAGAAATTACAAGAAAATGACAAGAAGATGACAAGTAAATGACATGAGGGCCGGTGCGGCTGCTGGTAGAACTTGGGCTTGTAGGGCTCAATCAGCATGCGGATCTTGCCCAAGTGATTGAAGAAGAGCCTCTCAGATGACCAGGACCAGAGTCACGATCAGAATTTCTTCGACACGGAACACCACAACATATACATCCAGATATCACAAGGAGATGCAGTTGAAACGGGGGAATTTTTCGACAGATCTTAATCTTGAGTTATAGTTTATGCAAAGTCGGTCGGAACAGATCATCAAAGGAATGTCGGGCCGCGCTGCCGATCTCTTTGAACTTTCAGAGGGACCGACGGTACGCGTTGTAGTGATGTTCCAACTGATTTTGCATAAACTCTACCTATGAAGATTTGTATCGGAGATAGTGGTCGAAGCAGTTGAACTCGAGTAAATGAACTTCTGAAACTTCAGCTGTCTGAGCCAATATTCGCCTTATTCCTATGAGAAAGCACCACAGAGCTGGACGACCAACCCTTGTCCCCATTACTCGTGAGAACGTTTGGCCTTCTTCACTTCAGTTACAATAACAATAGGCAATGGACAATACCAATACGTTCAGCATAGAGTTGTAGGAGCAGTCTAACGCGAATAAATGGATATCTGAAACTCATCATGCCTGAACCAATGTTTTTAGCCTATGCCCTATGCAGAAAGAATAGGGCTTGGAAGGGCATCCGCCGAAAAGGCTCAAAAGGGTTAAGAACACTGAAGAAAATTGGAGGGGACTTCCGTGTTTTCAAATTGCATGCAGATGTGAAGAAAAGAAGTACAAGTAACATAAATAAAAATTAGCATGCACCTCTCCTCTGACCAACGTATGGGAATAGTTATTTGTTTAACTAGGCAGCAAAGTAGTAGATTGACCGCCGAGGCTGAATTCATTGCCGAGCGTAGCGAGGCTAGGAATTCAGATCAGGCAGTCAATCTACCTTGCTGCCGAGTTGAATATATAATTTTTTCTCCGATTGTTCATAATGATAGAGGAGGATATTGTAATTGCAAATCATTACAATTCCCACAATCTCTTTATTTTTCCTGTAGTGTTCAATTAAAATGAAACTTGATAGAAATCGCTGTTGTCCATGATAATTATAGTTTGACAATTCATGAAAATTCTGACAGTTGTGCGAAAAAATATCGGTATATCTGAATTATTATATAATGGACAGTGATAGCGACCTGGAAGTACTTACACCTCCAGAAATAAGGGAGGTGGCGAAAAATATAGAGTTGAGTTTGTTGCCGGAGAAGTCTGGAATAAAATATGAAGGAAATTATAAACAATTTATGGATTATTGATTTTGCTGAAACATACCAATCAGCAAAGTAACTACTTTGCTGCCTAGGCAGCAAAATACCCACTTTGCTGCCTAGGCAGGAAAAGTAATACTTTGCTGATTGATATGTGTCAGCAAAATTAATATTTGCTGCCAATCGGAGAAAAAAAATGTATTGAAAAAAATTGAGTCATGCACGGCGAAAGTTGCAAAAATAATTGTTGGTTAACGTGGGATGCATCCCAATTTTTCCAGAGTGTTTTTGTTACTAAAACAACGATTCTCTATATCGGAATGCAATTTGAAAACACGGTCCCCTTCAATATTCTTCAGTATTTCGTTGCCGTTTCGAGCCCTTTCGGCCGCTGCGGATTGCATGCCATCAATTATAAGCGCTTCAGTTTGCTTAAACCTCCGTATATTACGACATCAGGCAGTATGATTTCGCGGAAAAACACGAAAATTCTTGACAAAAGGAAATGCGCTTTTCTTTATGAATTGAAGTGCACACGTGCGGCGGCCAGAAACCCGTTTATTTTCCTTATTTTGGGTTAATTATGAAACCTTGCTGAGTAAAATGAGAGATCTTCACCTGTCACCATCTCCTGGTCTATAATAGCTCTTGTAATCAACTGGATAGCATTTCCAAATATGTCCTGAATTTCAGTCATTTTCATGGAAAATGGAATGATGGAACGTGTTTCTGTCGAAAACCACTGGAGTTAACCGACGTAAAAATAAAAATCGATCAGAAATCCATGACACTTGGTATTCAGCAGGAAGGGGTTCAGCGTTGATTAATTACAGATAAAGGAGTCGTAAGTCACTTCCAATCAGGGTTTCCGTTCTCGACACATCTTTATCGCGTCCTCCTTGGAGATAGAAGCCATTTTCAATTAGCGGAGTTAATTAACGCGATTTTTTTGTCGGAAAGACGCAGAAGTGATCATAACATAGTTGCTGGATGTACACAAGTAGAAAACTAATTTTGTTGATATCGAATTTTTTTATTTGTATTTCTTGTTATCGAATTCCACAAAGAAATAGGTTAAGGTATGGCTGAATTGTTACTCCATATTCATCAATTGAATAAAAAAGAATCAGAAATTATTAAGGTATTCCTATTTTTTTGAATTTCTGGTATTTTCTCTACTCGTTTCTTTTGATAAAGATGTGAGTATTATTCAATATAGAATATAAAATTTTCATTGAAGACGTTTTGGGAACTCATCTGCTCACGGTTTCAACATGTAAATAGAAAACTATTCTTAGCTATTGGTCACTCAATTTTTCAACAGAAATTACATAATGTATTGTCACCGAAATTATGAACACCTGCCAAATTTCAAGTTAATCGGAGTTATGGAATTTTTATTGAAATTAAAAAAAATGGCTGCTCCAAGATGGCGGACAAGATTTGGTCCGATTCCATTCAAAATTGGTAAGTGGGGATTTTTGAAGTCGGAGATTATAATTTTTTTGTTAAAATTTATAAATTTAAGATGGCGGCTTCCAAATAATTTTTTGTTTTTGTATAAATGACGATAACTCCGTTGTTATCAACACAAAACTATTACTGCGACATATCAGCTGTAGAAGAAAAAAGAGTTATTTGTAACTAAGTCATAGTGAGCTATGACCTTCATTTGAAAAACTAAAGTTGGTGCTGATCACTCAAATTCTAGAAGAGTTGGTATAAATTTCGAATTTTTTTCGAAATCACTTTGAAAAACTGCCATGAGAATGTGAAATTCCTATTTGAATATTTTCATAAATAAAGAAGTTACGGAGGAGACATGAAAATGATCAAAATCTGTTTTTTTGCGTATAAAACAAAAACGAATAGATTTTATCAAAATATTTTTCCACATTATAGTTGGCCTTGACAAACTCCACATTTGGTGTCATTTAACCGACCGCGTAACTCTCACCGTTAAAAAGATACCCATGGTGAGCATGGTGAGTGGGACACACTGTATAAAGTCAATATCCTGAATTTCTACAAAGTGGCGTAACAATTAGTGTAGTTTAGTTCAGTAGATTAATAATAATAATAATAATAATAATATGCCTTTATTCACACGATTGATATGGTAATAACAATAAACAAAAATAAATCCTAAATTAATAACATAATCATATGAAAGGGCGGAATTCAGTTACCCAAATCCAAAGACACTGGTATCTGCTCTTCCATTCAACCCCATAATAATCAAGTACAGTATGTTCACGAATTAAAAACATATACTTATCTCAACAAAATGTATACGAAATTAGCAGTAGACTTAACAAGAATTGATAGTTTACTGTTCATATATTAGTTACTTATATAAATCAAGAACATTAGCATGGTTCTATGACAAAAAGCTGAAGAAAATTAGAGCTTAAGATAATAGAGAAAAAAAAATAAAAAATAAAGGAAAATACAAAACAAAAAAGCATGAATTGTGACTATAAGACAAATAATAGACGAACAAGGAAATGGAGGCAACCAGGGAGCCTGCGTAAATAGGTTTTCATTCGACATCTAATTGCAATTTTCATTATCTAATTTCCTCCACTTAGCGACAGAATGTTCACTCAATAGACAATCGACCTTCGAATATGATTTTTCTTACTGAACTTTTGAATTTAATTTTATTCATAGATTTCAGCGTGTCCGGAATAGCGTTGTAGATTTTGGAAGATATATACGTGTACGAGCGTTTGAAAAGTGAGGTGTGATATTTTGGTGGAGTCAGGCGAGATCGATATCTAGTGTTAATCGTATGAACGTCTTCTCTGAATGATAGTTTTTTGAATAAATAAATGGGTACCCTGGAGTGAATGACATCGTGGCAAAAACAACTCATATGCAGGAGCCACCTCTGCTTCATAGTTAGCCAATTGGAATTTTTTATTCTGTGAGAAATGGCGTTGCGTTTTCTTACACCATAAAGGAACCGTGCACAGGCATTCTGTACATACTGTATGCGATTTTGATCGTGTTTTGTCAAGCATGGAAAATATACAATATTCGCGTAATTGAAATGGCTGAGGACAAGGGAGTCACATAAAATTTTCTTCGTTTTAGTATCGAGTATTTTGGAGAAATTATAGATAAGTTTGAGATTGCAATAAGCCGTTCTAATAATCTTTGTTACGTGGTCTCTAAATCTCAAGTCACTATCTATAATTACTCCCAAATTTCTTGCCGAATCAACAATATCCAAAGGCTCAGAGTCAATAGAAATATTAATTGTTTCTCGAAGTTGGTTTCGGTAGTTCTTATTGCCAAAAATCAGTAACTTAGACTTGGTGGGATTTATAAGCAGACAATGATCTTTCGATGCCTTGGATAGGTTATTAAG